GAATAATACTTTAAGAGGTTATGGGTCCAGAACGACTTTATCTGTGTTCTAAGAAATTTTATCGCTAAACCTAACCATGTGAGTTCCTCAGAAGTGAAAATGAGTTTCATTGTAATCAAGGAAGTATTTACTACAAACTTCTAGGATCACAAAATTGGGTGCGGTGTAAGAGGATGATTGAAGGTTTACCTATTGAAAAAGAAGGAGCTTTCGAAGTGTGTTTTGGGGAAATAGTCAAACCAGAGCTGGTTAGCAAAGGTGCTCCCCTTTAATCCGGAATAAGTACAACCAACAGTTAACCAAGTTTGACAAAGGTAATAGAGCTGCTTGTGGATTTTTTTCATGGACATTAGACTCAACAATTTGTGATTTAGTTTCCATGTGCAAAACAGCAAGAGAAATATGGGTGGAGCTGTATGAATTATTTGAACATAAAAAGAGATGAGCACAGTATGCATCCCAGTTGCAGTTTCCATCATTTGTGCATGCATATAGCAAAATTAGAATGTTTGGTGTCACGAATGCATAATTTAGAAATTAAGCCAAAATACTCTGTTATTATGAGCAAACTATTAGAAACTCTCTCTAATGAATTTGAGCAACTAAAAATGGCTTAATGTGCAAGACTGGAAGAACAGCAAACAATGTCAGAATTGAAGGGACTGCTAATTTCACAAGAGCAGAGAAAGATGTCAGAGCCTAGGGGCAGTAAATTTGTTATTTTAATGGCTAATACTGTTGAAAAAACTGGAAGCAAGCAAACATTTTCAAGAAAAAATGGGCCTGTTAACAAAGAATAAACAGTATAAATGTTTAAAATGTGGTAAAAAGGGTCACTTTGAAAAGGACTGTAAATCCCAGAAAAATTATTACATAACAGTCAATCATGATGAAAAGATTAACTACGGGAAAGCCTTTATTAGTGAGTGTTTCAGTGTGACTAATAATAACATATGGATAATCAACACTGGAGTTACTCAGCATATTACAAACAAAATTGACTGGTTTCAATCACATACAAAATTTGAGCATCTAGTTGAAGTAAGAGTTGGTAATAATGCAACAATGAAAGCTTATGGACACAGTGTCATATCACTTGAAATGTTAGTACAGGGTTCATGGAGAAACAGCTTCATAGTAGCTTGTGAAACTATTAGAACCACCAGCTAATACTACAATCATACATACCAGTATCATGGCTACACAGACTCTACCTACCACTAATACTGCTGCCACACAAACCAACACAACTGCTATGCAGACAACACCTACTTTAGTCCCTGATGAAATACTAGAGGATTCTGAGGCAACCACTCACACTTGTTCAAGGGAAGAAAAGGAAAACATTACAACAAAGAAAATCTTCTGAACACTTATTGCTTATAGCATCTAAGGATCAAGACAGCACATCTCAACAGATTCAGCAACAGTTGGCAAATTACATTGGTCCTTTAAAAATTAGAATTCCCATTTAACAAATACAACAAACGAGATTCAAAGAATTACTGATTTGCTGCACTAATCATACATGCATAAACATACCATAGAAATAAAAGAATCCATAGCTGCTGTGCAAGAAATTAAGAACAACATTAAAGTACATGAGCCTAGACCATTACAGGATTCAATAATTGTATTCACAGTGCCTGTAAATTATGCAGCAGATGATCTTGTAGCAACATTTGAGAACTAGTAACCATCAGGAAAGATTGGGCGAATCAATCCAAAAACTCTATTACATTTTGCCGATAGCAGAAACAACTGGATAGTTAATTTATATAGAGAATACTACAACAAAATTAGAACACAAGAAGGAATATACAGTACAAAGTGCATAATTTGGACTCGTCGGGACTTCGCCGATTCCGGATTAGAGGTTTTTCTGGATTATAGATCGTCAATTTGGTAAGATGGCATGCAGAAACTATACAATTAAAAATATGAAACCATAATTTATGAAATAATGAGCAATTATGATCTAAAGGGTATCAAATTTTACAAAAAAACAGCTTAATATTTATTTGTTTACTTTATTAAACATTTCTTCCAACGCGCATGCATGTATGTAATATATGTGCAATCTTTATGCACATGCGGAATGTATGCGCACTCTTTACGTGCATGCATACAGCATACAAAAAAAAAGTTTGTGGCTTTGAGGTCCAGATTATAGATCATTCCGGATAATGGACGTCCGGATTACAGACTTTGTACTGTATTTACGGTTTAATTCCTGTCCATACAGACAATACATACGAGTACAGTGTTGCTTCAATTCTCAAAGCTTTGAGCATCAGAGTAGAGACTGCACAAACTCTTTAACTTGTGTCAGATGCGCTAAAGAACATGATACAATTGAAAAAAATTGTCAAGATATTCCATATTATGTAAACTGAGTTAGCCAATATTTAAGGGTGCCCCTTGGATTATCACTAAGTTGTTGTTTCGTTTATCACCAAGTTGTTCCATTTATCGCCAGCTTGCTGTTTCACTTATGGTAACCTGAGTAGTTGAATGTTATGAAAATCCTATTATATGTAAAAGGTTGCATGATTGGGGTGAACTTGACTGATGGGAAAAGATTTGTAAAGACTTGTTTGTGTGTTAGATGTTGGTTAGGAAGTACGCTGCTTGTTTTGTGATTTACACGGTAAATTCTGAATGTGGTAAGATTAATATGAAGTTTCTGTATAATTTGGAACGAAAGGGGAAAAACGTGTCTGGACTGGAGTGTAAATGAAAGGTTCACTTAGTAGCCATTAAACTAAACACATAAATGTTAGGTATCACTTTGTACATGATAAAGTTTTAATTGGTGAACTTGAAATTGAATTCACGGGGAAGTATTAATATTGTGAACTCAGATTTATTTTATGCTTTTGTTTTATATTGTTTCCCTGAAATGTGTTTTAACTTTCTCTTATATTAATATTTGTTTCTATGTGTAATGCTGAATTTTGTATAATTGATTTGGCAGCATCCTATTGCAGTAAAAATATTGTTCTAAAAATGAAATGAAATTTTACTGTTTGTCATTACTTCACATATTGTAAAAGGTAATGAATGCTTTCCTAGCTGCTTAATGTTAAATAAATTAAATTTTATGTAGGTCTGAATCACTGACGTAATAATACTTTAAGAGCAATACCTATTTGTTGACTTATTTTTCAAATATCTCTATAAATTTGCAAATATTCTTCGTTTGAGAATGATATTAAACAGTACACAATGCATCATGACAGAAGTAATTACCACAGATTATATCTCAAGAATTTTCTCATTTAATATAAGCATTCTGAATTTTACATATAATTTAATTAAGTATAAAATTATTATTGATATTGTAATTTTATGTATTCACTCTTTTTTTTTACTACTAAAAGGAAAATTTCTTAACTGAAAAATTATAAATTTTCAGTATGGATATTAATAGTTTTATCTTACTGTAAACATTTAAAAAAATATAAGGTATAATATTGAGGTAAAAGTATATTTTAGGGTACCCCTTAGCAATTTGTGCGAAATACCAAATTTGTGCAAGTCTTGTTATTTTGCCGATTTTTGTACCAAAAATCACCACTACACAAAGCCAAAATAACATGACAAGAATGGCACAAACCCGGTACCCATGTACTCATCGACCTATTTTCACTTTAAAAAAATATCAGAAAATTGCACAAACTAGGCTTTACGCACTCCCTTGAGTTTGTCCATGTATATATCAATATATTTTCACTTAAAAAGTCAAAGGAGCATCCAATTCTACAGTAGAGGCAAACAAAAAATACATAATCTCAATAAACTACATTTTAAACCAAACAATAAAGTAACATAAGAAAGGACTGTGCATTTAAGCATTACACAAAGCAAATATCCTCTTACCTTTGTGGCACATAAAATTCCTTAACAGCATCGAAAAACTTACTAAAATTATCTGAATTAGAATCCATATATCAGCGTCGGTCACATAAATTCACAAAAGTAAGAGTAAAAAAAAATCCTACATATTCCGGACTGTCCTGAAAATGGCTACTAAGTAAACCTTCATTTGCACACCAGTTAATTAATGAACTTTTCTCCTTTCATTGCTCTAAATCGTACAGAAACTTCAAATTAATCTTACTACATTCAGCCATTCTACAGTCTAAACAATGAAACAAGCAATGTATTTCCTAAACACACCACAAAAGCCCTTATTTTTGTTGTTATTTCATCTCATGAAATACCCTTGTTGTTATTTCATCCCATGATTCAAAATTTCTTGGAATAATGAAAATGATTAAGTTATAATAGGGTCTCCATAACATTCAACAATTCAGGTTACCATAAATGAAACAACAACTTGGCAATAAACGAAACAACAACTTGGAAATAAATGAAACAACAGCTTCGCTATAATACAAGAGGTACCCTAAAGTCAACTTTAACTAAAATTGATATTTTTTCTATTATGCACCTGACATGCATTTTGGCGGCTGTGAAAGAGATATCAAGTGCATACCGAGACCCAATGATAGCACTTCTGAGTGTGTGTGCATTTTTAATTATAAAGTTTCATGTGCATGTGTCTCTTACACACACATCAACTAGAAACTGTTTACGATTAAAAGATTTGCAGAATGTGTGCTAAGTGCATATCTTAAATGTACCAAGAAATTAATATATTATCCAGAAACAAGAGCATCAAAGACAGTGATATATTACCCAGAAATTTTGAGCTTTCATTCTATAAATAGGTTATCAAAAAATTTCAATCACATCTTAAAAGATGTTTCTTGCAAGATTATTCATACCTAATGTGAAATATTTTGGATACAAAAACTGCTGAAAAAAAAAGCATTTAGTTTCAGTTTTATAACAGTGCTTGCATGTGTTTCCTTGGATTAAAACAACTGTATACATTGAAATACATAATAATATAAATTACATTTGCCTCATATATTAAAGATTAATTCATATTTTCTACACAAATAACAAATCTCATATAAAACAGTTATTACCATTATCATATGCATATGCAAGAATTTTACCATCAGGGCGCCAAGCTATGGCCGTCACTAACACAACTTTATCCTTAGTACTTGGTGATGGAAATGACCAAACTTTTTGCCATGTCAGTCGATGAAGAATCACTTCCCCATTAACTGTAGCTAATGCTATAAGATCTAGCATTGGATTCCATTCCATCAAAGCTATCTCTGCAGATACATGACGCTGCTCGAGCTGTCGAAAAGATGTCATGCTGTAAAGAAAAAATATACACATAAGAAAATATATATAGTTTTTCAGGGTTTTCATTCGCAAAGCGCCGCTGGCACCGTTTACTCGGCAAGCTCACCAATGGTTGATGAACGTTGATGATGAGCGCCGTACAGTTAAAAGATATTAAACCCATGGAAGTAAGCTGCGTAAACGTGATATTTAGTACATATAATCAAAATCAATTAAATAATAAATGACATAAATTCAAGTTAGCAGAGAAAATGGCTCTAGTGTAGAATTGGGTGCCCCTTCGATTAACGACAATTTTTTTTTTTAATTTTGGGGATGAAACCTTACTTCTGGTTACCCATGATAGTTTTAAATTTGTTTTAGCTTCCTGATTTTACTTAAATGAAAATAGATTGATGTGTACATGGACAATTTAAGACAGTGCAGAATGCCTAATTTGTGCAATTCTAGGATGTTTTTTAAGTGAAAACAGATCGATGTGTACATGGACACAGAGTTTGTGCAATTCTTTGACTTCTTATTTTGGTTTTGTGTAGCGGCCATCTTGAAATTGTTCCTTCCTAGCGCCAATCTTGGCGTCAAAAAACAGTCGCCAAAAAACAAGGGGCACCCAATAGTAAACTTTTACCGAAAAAACAATATATTAAGCATATACACTGCTCAACATTGAAAATGCCACACCAAGAAGAATTGGTCAGAAAGTGATAAAATTTGGAAAAAAGACACAGCAAGCAGCAATAAGTGATCTTTATTTCAAAATGATAGTCAGAATACAGAGGCAAGAACAGCTGTCGGCTCAGTAGGATGTAGGACCACCTGCAGACAGCGATGCATGAAGAAACACATCTAGGCATAAAGTCGATAAGAGTGCGGATGGTGTCCTGAGGGAATCACTCTCCATTCCCTTTTAACCAACCATTTGACACAGTTCGTCTTCTGAACGAGGAGGGGCAGAGTCTGTAAATGGCGTCCAATCTCATCTCACACATGTTTGATTGGTGACGGGTCAGGAGAGTACAGTGACCAGGGAAGCATCTGTATACCTTGCAGAGCATATTGGCAGATGCGAGCACTGTGTAGTCGGGCATTATCCTGCTGAAAAATTGCATTAGGCAGCCCCTGAAGGTAGGAGATTGTCACAGACTGCAGTACATTATCCAAGTACCGTTGGTGCCCTGAATACGAACTAGAGGTGACCTGGAATCGTAGGCAATAGCGCCCCAAACCATTATGCCACGTTCTCGCGCTGTGAGGCATTCCACAGTTATTGCCAAATTAGATCTGTTTCCATGTAGATGCCACACACGTAAGGGGTTGATTGTCACTGGATAAACAGAAGCACGACTAGTCTGAGAACACAACATTTCGCCATTCTGTCATCCACATCTCTCCAGTCCAGCACCATTCTAAACGTTAGCGTCTATGCTGTAGGGTCAATGGCAGTCTTCTTAACGGACGGCGTGACTGTAGGCCACATGCAACCAATCGATGGGAAATGGTTCTGGTCGACACGGGAACATCCAGGGTATCTTGCACATGCTGCAGAATCGCGGTACAGCCACAGCTTGTCAGCAGATGTGTCGATCCACGCATGCTGACGTCACTCTGGCTGCACCTGCACCCTTTCTTCTTCCCACATTTCCTTGTTCCTACCATGTTCGCCATAGCCGATGCACTGTGCTCACATCCATGTGAGTATCAACTGCGATTTGACATAAGGACTAACCCTCCCTTCTCAGTCCAATCATTATACCCCTCATAAAATTGTCTATCTCCTGGTAGCGTCTTCGTTGACGGCGGCCTGACACTGTCTCCTATTACATGTATCTTCTGGGACAAAAACCAACTTTCTACGATAATTCGTCTGGCAGAAATAACGACACGAATATTGCCCTTTCTGCACGTTCCTTCCCTTATATCTTACTTCATGTGCGCCGGAGAGCTGCGCATTTCACATTATTCGCATAAACTCTTTTGCTGAAGTGGTTTAATTGCTCGTTGGTTCGTGTTGTGCATGTTTTGAAATGACTTATGTTGCAATGAGAGACGTGGTTGCAAGAGAGTCTGGGAGATTATTTTTAGTGGCTGTGCATAACAGAAGTAGGAAAACGCTAATGCAGTGTAATCGCCGCTACACAAAGCCAAAATAACAAGACAAAACAATTACGCAAACTCAGTATCCTTGTACACATCGACTTATTTTCACTTAAAATCCCCAAATTGCACAAAAATGGCATTACGCACTCCCTTTGACTTCATCCATGTACACGTCGACCTATTTTCACTTAAACAAAATACTCGAATTGCACAAAAATGGCATCGCGCACTCTTTTAACTTTACACGTCGACCTATTTTCACTTAAAAAATTCCCAGAATTGCACAAACTTGCATAGCGCACTCCCTTTATTTTGTCCACGTACACATCGATATATTTTCACTTACAAAGTCAAAGGAGCACCAAATTCTACAATATAGGCAAACAAAAATACATAATCTCAATAAAATACATTTTAAACCAAACAATAAAATAACATAAAAAAGGAAAAACATGTTATACATTTAACCACTACGAAAAGCAAATATTCACTTACCATGATTTTCGAATTCGCTTCGTACACCCAGATCCACGTAAAAATCAAAATATAAATCATACTCAAATGACTGACCATATGAACCTTTCTTCCTACAAACCCATTCAAATCCATCTAAACAGTTTTTACATTTGACTAGATGCATATCCTTCCTACATACAGGACACTTATAATGGCTACTAAGTAAACCTTCATTTACACACCAGTCAATTAAAGCTCTTTTCCCCTTTCGCTCCAAATCGTACAGAAACTTCAAATTAATCTTACTACACTCGGCCATTCTACCATCTAAAGAATCAAACCAACACACAAATCAAAAACACTTACAACACATCCCATGATTTAAAATTTCCCAGAATCATGCACCCGATTACGTCACAATAGGGTTTCCATAACATTGAACTACTCAGGCTACCATAAATGAAACAACAACTTGGCGATAAATCAAACAACAACTTCGCCATAATACAAGGGGTACCTTAAAGTCTACTCTACCCGAATGTGCAATTCATAGATGTTTTTTGAAGTTAAAACATATCGCTGTGTACATGGATTCTTGTCAAATATTTTTGGTTAGAAACTTTACATTTCTGCTATCTAAGTTTTTTGTTTTTATTTCGGATTTTTAGCTTAAATTGCGTCTTTAAAATGTGGTTTTTGCATATGCGAAAACCATGTTTTTGGAGACATTTTAGGCTTAAAATTCGAAATGTAGACACAAAATTTACGTAGTAATATGGCGGCATGAAGTTTCTCACCAAAAATATTTGGCAAGTCGCATATAATAGTAGTTCCATAAATTCGTATTAAATTCAAGTTAGGGCAGAAAACAATATCTAAAGCCTAATGGAAATAAAATAATCATGGGTTGGATCCTAGCAGGGCTAATCTTTGGAATATGGTAACAGGTAGTTTGGCGACATTTTGGTAGGCAATAAAGGACTTTGGGAATAATGTGAGAAGTACCGAGTTTCCGATTACGCATTATTTTATGTGAGAGAAATGAGAGATCTTGAGATATGTCATGTGACATTAATGGACAAATTACAGTTCTTTAATCGGAAAAGGGGGGAAATCTGGAAATTTTGTATTTAGCTTTATTCTGTGTTGTGTGAAACAGTGTTTGTTAATTTTTGGATCCCATGGCCCTATCTAAAGTGAATTCGAAATGGGTACATAGTGGGATTGAAAGGGGTAGTAATAAGTGTATTTTTAAGGTTGTGCGAGATAAAAGTAAAGATTGTTTATTAAGTTTTATTAAGTTATTTATTCTACCTGATACAATAATAATATCTGATTGCTGCAAACAGTCATATGTCTGTTTGGAGGATGAAGGTTTTCAACATCTTGCTGTGAACTATAAGTATGATTTTAAAGATCCTGAAAAGGCACACATACGATTGCTTTTTATTTAGCGGAGGAAATAAGAAAAGTTTATCCACCACGAAATCAAGATTCTGAAGAAGATTAGGTAAGTTAGTATTTTTAATTATTTGAGGATATTATTTTTATGCATTGTTCTAAATGTAAGGAGTTAATAAATTAATATGGTATTATTGGAAAATTGTTATTAGCAATGATTTAGTTTAAAGTAATTAGGATTGTAAGCTAATTTTTATTCATTTAATGTATGTGCTTATTTATATTTTCAGTAGTGTTTTTTAATTTAATTATATTTTAATTAAATGATAGTTATTTTGTGAATTATATGTTTGTAGCAATTTGGTATACGTTTCAGTGGAAGTAACTGTGCATGGAAATAATTAGTATTTGCAACCATTTTTAATGTTTGCATTATAAATTCGTTGGCGACGTTTATAATAGATAATTTAGAGGTAAAAGTTTTTGATATTTTATTTATTTTATACGTGCAAATGTTCATCCTTGGAAAGGGTATATACTTTTTCGCGACCAGGTAATTTCATATATGTCCTTTTTACCGAATTTAAATATTCACAAAATTTTCATGCATTTTCAAGAAATTTTTGTAATTTATGAGAAAAAAGCAGTGCACATGGATATAGTGAAGATTGTGCGCAATGCCATTTTTGTGCAATTCTGGGATTTTTTTTAAGTAAAAATAAGTCAACGTGTACATGGTTTAATTATATTTTAATTAAATGATAGTTATTTTGTGAATTATATGTTTGTAGCAATTTGGTATATGTTTCAGTGGAAGTAAACGTGCATGGAAATAATTTAAATATTTGACACTAAGTATTTGTAACCATTTTTAATGTTTGCATTATAAATTTGTTGGTGACGTTTATAATAGATAATTTAGGTAAAAGTTTTTGGATATTTTATTTATATTATACGTGGAAATGTTCATCCTTGGAAAGTGTATATACTTTTTCGTGATCAGGTAATTTCATATGTGCTTTTTACCGAGTTTAAAGATTCACAAAATTTTCCTGAAAATTTTTGTAATTTATGAGAAAATAGCAGTGTAGATGGATAAAGTCAAGAGTGTGCGCAATGCCATTTTTGTGCAATTCTGGGATGTTTTTTTAAGTAAAAATAAGTCGACATGTACATGGTTACTGTGCATATCGACGTGCAAATGGTTTATGTGTATGTGCTATTCTGAAAAATGTGCAAGGAGTTTGCGATTGTGCACTTTTTCCCAATTTTGCAGTTAATATTTGTAATGATTAAGCAGTTTTGTTACATAAAATTTCTAGCATCAGTGTAATTCGGCTAGTAGATTGTTGGAAAAAGTGTTGAGTAAATAAAAAGAAAAGAAACATGTCTTTACTTTGTGAAGACATGGCAATGAAAAATGGCAATGTAAATGGCAGTGCAAAAAAAAAAAAAAATAGAGGGTTGCTGTAGCAAAGTTGGTCGCCAAATTTTCGCCAAGTTACCATAATCTAAAGATCAACCAAGAAAAGAAACATGTCTTTACTTCGTGAAGACAAAATGGTGGCGAAAAAAAAATTGAGGGTTGCTGTAGCAGAGTTTGTCGCCAAAAAATCGCCAAGTTACCATAATCCAAAGATTGACCCCTAGCAGAGCCCACACCCTTGACGCGCCCACTTATATGATGCATTCGATGTATACATGGACAAAGTCAAGGGAATATGCAATGCCAAGTTTGTGCAATTTTTGGATGTTTTTTTTAAGTGAAAATAGGTCAATGTGTATATGGATACTGAGCTTATGGAATATTTTGACTTGTTATTTTCAAGTTGGCGATTTTGAGAAACGCGCGAAGAAGTGGGTGATTCTGCACTTTCCCAGTTTGTTGCCAAGGGTGTGGGCTCTCCTAGGATTTTACCTAATCATGTAATAATGAGTCCTTTTTTTGACAGTTATCTATTTAATGGGAAAAAATTAGTAAAATTCAGATCTGTCTTTGAATATCTTTCAATATTATAAAATTCCAAAATATTTCTGTTCTTTCTAGGGAAACTGTGAAAACATAAAACCAAAAAGCCACTTTTATAATTAATTTTCAACAAACATTTTTGTTGTTTGTTTAAAATATACATACATAAAAACAAACATTTTTTTGTTTGTTTTTTCTCCCCTCTAGTTAAAAGTAAGTTGTTAAAACCATTATAATTCAAACAGAATCATAGTGGCCCAGAAAAACTAAACTTTTGTTTTTTAAATTCTACATCATCTATGCTTCAAAAGAGATCTATTTTGTTGCTTTAAATTATTTTGATTATCGGGCAGTTTAAATTGATAATAAGATTACCAACCTGATACTGTAAATATTCCTTGTTATTGTTTCTCAGAACACTGTTTTACAACATCTGCAGTAAAAATCTTCGATAACTTCCCGCTTCCACACACCGGGAACTTCAAATCGCAATGTTTATTTACATATAGTTAGTAGCGTTGCCAACTTTGAAAGCGTTATTGCACCTGAAACGCTTGGCAAAATTTTATGAAAAAAAAAAGCTTAATCCATTTATTTCTGAAGGACAATCATATAACTGCGATTGAAATAAACTATAACAAATTTCAACTATGTAGTTAAAATAAGAAAATACATAAGTGTATCGCGCATAAATTTCAGTCCACAGCAGAGGCATGTATTCCCTGAATAATAGGAATTCTACGGATGTGTTATTAAGCACCTTTCATCCGTTTCAAACGTCATTAAAAGAAAAGGAAAAAAACTCGTGCAACAGAACTACTTCCTTGCATCGACGTCATCACACTCTGATAGCAAAATAGAGCCGACTAATGTATTCTTAAACGTCGAGTTTACACTGAGTTTCCTTTCTGCAACACAAGCGTCCCGTCTTCTGCAAATCCTTCCCGTCATCAGTGGCGTAGCTAGGGTGGTGCAAGGGGGGACATCTGTCCCCGGGCGCAGCATGTAAAAGGGCGCTAAATTCATGGTACGAAATTTTTTAATGAAATGTTTTTCATTTTTGGCACACAGAAAGGAGCGCTAACTCTTCAGTTGTCCCCGGGCGCTAGAAACTCTAGCTACGCCCCTGCCCGTCATCAACATTGCAGTTATAATAAATTCTCTTTTCCAAAGTTTATTTAACTTTTGATTGTCGTGATTTTTATTACGGTTATTCAGAACAGAATGTTGCTACCGAAAGGAAGTTGGAAAACTGGAAAGCAAGAGAGTTGCTGCCGCCAGGCTTGCAGCATATGCTGAGTTGTATACATCCAATCACAACTCTGTCTTATCAGTGAGTGATCCTCAGTAAATCTCTTACATGGAAGCCACACGTTACACATATTCTCAGGAAGTTTCGAGCTAGTAAAGCTTCACTTTCCCTTAAATGCTCGAAACAGTGTTCTATCTATTGATAATAAGTTGCTCATTTACAAAACCATGTTGCGTCCAATTCTTAGTTATGCATGCCTCGTCTGGGATACTCGTGCAAAAGTTTGAGAAGGCAGTTACAAGCTGCCCAAAACGGAGTATTGCGTATGATATGTAATGCCCCCTGGTACATTCGGAATAGCCAAATTCGTAAAGAGTTAACTCTTTCGCATCGACAGAGGGTAAAATCTCAATTCCCCAAACATCGAAAACGCCTGTATCTAAGAATTTTTCTGGTAATGCTTTTACTTCCCCCATGACAAGTTGAATACTACAGCGCTAACAATAGCCTTACTTAAGTAAAGCGAGAACTTCTTTCTTCGACGCTTTGACACTGTGTGAAGTTCCCCCTTGGGACGGGATTGCAACTTCGGGCATCAAAAGCTAAACACTGACAAACCAAAGGAAAGGAAGGAACAAAGGAAACAAGGAAGGAAGCGACTTTAGTAGCTTCAAAAGAATGATTGACATGTGATTTAACAACACCTGAAAGCAATGAGTAATGCAGTAACGTGATGGGGGAAAGCACTGGGTAGGAAATTATTCAGGCGTTTCGGGCGTCCAGCCGATGTCTGAATGCTCGGGCGTTTGGGGCTACTTCGATGCGAAAGAGTTAAGAATAGATGATCTCTGTGATTTTTATTGCCATCTATCTAGGGCACTTTATGATAAACAGGAACTTCTGGACAATCCTGTGGTTGTTAACTATTGTTATGATACAGTAAACGCCCAAAGGCGATCCTAAATGTTAGTAATATGTAATTTTTTTGTGTTTATGTGTTTATGCAAATTGTTGCTCAGATTCTTTGTATATTGTTCTTTTTCCTCCTGATTGCATTGTTTTACTATTGGCACTAAGGCGTCGCACTTCGTATTTTGTTTTTTTGTGTGGTACATGTATTCTTCTGTGAACCAGTTGTAAAAAAAAATAGTTAATTATGTATGGATTAGTAATTAGGTACCTAAGGTAAAAATATGTATTTAACTATTAGCAAATGAATAAAATCTACTAATTTATTTTAGCACATTCAGTTATATTTCTCAAAATTCGAAACTTTTATCATGTTATTCGATGAGGGGTAGGGCTATGGCACCCAGGCACCCTTGTGATTAAGCACCGCAGTTCAATCAATCAATCTTATCAGTGAGGTAAATTAAAAAGTAAATAATTCCGCATAGTTCAAAATGATATTGGCAGCGGAAACCTTTAGGTTGTAGCAATATACTAAGACGCAAATGGATCTCCAAGTTGTCTTTAGGATCATGAGTTCTTTGCCACCGACCTCATAAAACGGACTAACAGAAATGGAGTTTTTCCCTCATACTTACCTTATACCACGCAAAGAGCCAGATATAGACTTGATAAGGCCTTAAGCTATTTGAGGTATGGTGCCCTTTATAAGTCTGTTATAATACGTTTTAATACTATTTATACTAGATTTTAATTTTTTTGGTAAACTGTAGCTTGTATAGCCTTATACGTAAATCCGGCCCTGTACCCACGGCCAACAATAATTCCTGTTTAATTTAGTGATTAGGTAAGCTAAGAATAGCTGGGCAGGAGTTAACTCCTGTCCAGCCATTTTTGTTAAGCCTCCTTCTTTAACTTATCTAATCTTTCTTATCTTATCTACTTATTTAATCACTATATCTTATCTTGTTCATTTGCGCTTTGGCTGCTGAGGTTAATGTTTCCGTAAAATCATCAAAACTAGTCCTGTGAAAATTTGCAAATATAAGCCTGATTTTTGTTGTTTAACATCTAAATTAATACTTGTTCGGCCTGTTATTTTATCTGAATAATTCCTGTTGTTGACCGTGATATACCCAAGGTGCTTCCCTGATCAAAGCTGAAGGAGTTGAGAAAACTTTCCAGTTTTACTATGGTTTGCTGCTGATCCGCTTATAATTTTTATCTTACAGCGATAGTTTTGTTGCTGAAAACGTAATAAATAAAATCAAATGTACGTTTATTAATCAGTTTTCGTTTAAACAGAACCGTAGGATGATTTGCTAAATCAGTATTGCCGTAGGATGATTTGCTAGATCAGTATTGCCGGAATGTGTTCTGACGCTCATATCGTCTTCTACATTTAACAATCTCAATCTTTTTTTCGTTTTTATGCTGTTTAATACTAAAAATCAGAATTCACACAAATAACATGTAGAAAACTGTAATCATATTTTTAAAGCTTTTTTGACCATCATGGGATAGTCGCATCTAACGTTAATCCAAAATGAATTACTTGATTCTTCCGAATATTTTAAATTAAATCTCGATTATTAGAAAGCGAAATTAGTTCTTCCTCGTAGTTTAAAGTTAATTCAATACAGAAGTATTCGGCACCAAAATCGGCTTAGATACCACACCTGGCGCGGTTATTAATGTCTTAAAAACTGAATTTAGCCAATTCTCATGTGTGCCGTATACTATATTAAACGCATTGTAATTTTTACTATATACATTTCTAAAATTTGGCGTCACACAAAAGTGCCGCCGCACAGTGGTTGAGAATCACTGCTCTAGAGTCATTATGGATGTTGAAGACGAGTAAAATGAGGAATGTTCTCGCCGGGACTGGAACCTGAACCTGTCGAATACGAGGCGAGTGAGCTACCGTTTCACCCCAAGGCATGCTGCTGGAAGGAGGAAGAAAACACCTTATATGCTCCCCCTTTTAAAGGGCGACTAGGTATGAAAGGACCCAATCGCCAAATCCTGGAGGTGACGAATTATCGTACACCACCTTTTAGTTCGAGAGCCACATGTAGAGTCATTATTATTATTTTTTTGATGCAGAAGACGTGAAAAATGTGCAATGCCTTCGCCTGAACTCGAAACTGGACCTCTCGAATACTCGCCGAGTGTGCTACCGTTACACCCTGAAGGCATGTTGGAAGGAGGGAGAAAATATCTCATATACCTTTTAAAAGGCGACTGGAGATTAGGGGATCCAATTCCCCAAATGCTAGTAGTGACGAATTACTGTCCACCATTTTTTTAGTTATGGGGCCACTGAAGAATCATTAGGTTTTCTTGAAGCAAGAGATTTGAAAATGTGCAACGTCCTCACCGAGATACTATCCAGGACCTATCAAATACGTGTCGAGTGTATTACTGTTGCACCAAGAAGGCATGCTGAACAGAAAGGAGAAAAACCTTATATTACCCTGTTTTCTTTCTTTTTATAAATATCTGAGCTATAGAATGGTACAAAGTAAATACATCAGATTTCTTTTTCCTTCCTGTGACATCTTCATTCGAAGTATGGAATGTAGATGTTCCAAATATATTTTCTTTCGATGTTTGGTTTCGGTAGAAATGACGCTTGCAAATATCCTTTGTATAGATGCATTACTTATTGGCAAATTTTAAACGTTAAATAAAGCAGTTAATCAAACTCTAGGGAACACAAGCGACTGGCTCTGGAATGTGTTTCAACCTACTCTATGACTTGATGTTTGCCAGATGCGGTTTCTGTTTAAGCCTAAATAATATTCTTTATATTATTTATCTATTATAAATTAATTTTAGTAGATACATTTTTGAACATGTAAGCATTTTGCAACGTTTTAAAGTCGCAAAATGTAGCGTAAGGTCATGATAGACTAGAAAAAATTTCAAAAAATCGCATACGCATTAATTTTAGTCACACAAGTTTGCGAAAGTAGTAAATTTGGTAAAAATTTCACAATTTGGCAACTTTGTACTGCATTATCATCCTACAGTTGAAAGCTTAACTTCTCTTTCCACGCATGATAAACACTCGGGCAAATTGTAGACGGATTTCCAGGCAAAACAAAAAATGCATGCATTATTGTTGTAATTTTAGAAACCAACAATTAATGATTAGTACCGCAAATACCGCAATACTGAAAGCTTTAAAAGATGTACAGTATCTTTCTCTAAAAGAATGCATTGATGATAACGAACCTAAGGAAAACTTTCTAATTAAATAACGATTTCATGTTATTTAAAAGAACAGGAATAATTTTAATATTATTATCGTTGTTATCAGTTTAAGTAA